CTGCTGAAATCTCTGGATTTCAGGCCAATCCTTCAGTGCAATTCTGATCTGCAACAAAACAGTTGTATAGTGTCATACCGACCTGCATATTTGAACAAACAGAAATGAATTCAGCTGACTACTGCGATCATGTTATGCTATGCACGACACTTACATGTCTAGGGCGTAACATGTCACATGACCACAGAACTACAGAAAGGATCCTACTATGACATTTGTTACTACTATCAAAATTTTATGCAGATAAGCTTATTCTACTGCTGTGTTAAATATTCTCACTGCAGGTGCTTTCTTTGACAGTGACATGGAACACAAGCCCTATTTGACATTTGAAAAAGTTAACTCCTCACATTCCAAGATGCCTGAAACAATACACACTTAGGAGACTCTCGCTCAGTAGATGATTAGGAAATAATACTCGTACCATGATTTGCTGCCAGTGAAATGCTCATAAAAGTATCCCTATCTTCTTGTTTTCCTTCCTCTCCCATGTGCTCTGCCCACTTCATTTTCTCTCTACCTAGTTAGCTTCTCTGATAATTCCTGGACTCTCTAACAGTTGCTATATAGCAGTGGTTTTAAAATTCCTTACATTCCTCTCCATAAAAGGTAATGCCTTCTTTGAAGTTAAGATATGAGATGTAATGACATCATTGTAGAATACTTAAACTTCAGTTTCATATTTAAAGAATTTGGACTCTATTGTGCATATGCACACAACACACAGTTTCCAAGTAAACCACTTCTCCTTGCACTGAGTTTCCAACTCCTTTATATACTGGTCTCCTGTCCTAGAAGCAGCAAGGAGACACGTCATTCAGGCATTCCCCCTTTCAACCTATTTATGAATTCCACTTCTAGTTAACAGGAACTGGAAATAATTCAGCCAGTCTTCATTCTGTTGAAATTCTAAGGAATAAGTGGGGCTGTAATGGAGTTCTCCACAGACCTGATGAGCACGTCCTCTGTTCCAATTTTGAAAGTTCCTCCTCTTCATTTTTGAACAGAGAAGACCTTCCCATCTGGCAAACAAGATTTCTAAGATCACAGCTACAATTTAGGAGGCATACGCAATATTTTAGTCACCACCATGTTAAGTTCTCAAACCCAAAGGTGTCTGAAAGGCTACCATTTCCAAAGGGACGGTCTGGTTCTAAACGTTTTAAGAAAGTGAGAGAAAATGCCCTACCCATTTATGATGGCAAAGTAGACAGTTACATCATATATCTTACTTCTAGTATCTCCTGAGAATAAAACCTCAAGAGCAGTTACCTTTTGTTTTGGCTGGCAAAGCTGTATATTATAGAGCCCATACAAAAGGTACAGAGCACCAACTCGGATCTGGAAAGCGTACGGGGGCAAGAAGTACTGCTGTGCCAGTTCTAAAGTCTTCTTTGTGAGCTTATTCCTCTCCAACGCTCTTATTCTACCACTGAAGTAAACAAAAAGGAAGCATGTTAAAGCAAGTAACTATGAAAGCGCAGGCTTTAGAAAATCCGTAACGCAGAAACAAGTTTTAGGTATTCTAAAACATGTTACCATAGGGCTCAAGTTGTGAGAAGTCTTCAAAGATGGCTAGATCTTATGCTCACACACAACACTGCATGTAACTCCTTGTATTAAATCAGATGTGAAGAGAAAAATTAAATACCCTACAGTCGTAGTTTTAGTCTCATATCACGAGCATCGCATCAAACTCCCTGAAGCATCAGTGTTCAAACCACATGCATCGCTAATGTACAAAATAAATTGAACTAATAACCGTTTTCCAGTATTACACAGGAACGGATGCTTCGTTACCGTTTACCTACACACCAGCCAGGCAAACCCTTCCCAAAAGCTACGCCCGAAGGGAAACACGGCTCACCAACTCCCCCCCAAGCCCCCCCGCACTACCAAGGGCGAGCTCGGCAGCGGGGAGCTGTGGCCTTCGGCAGGGGGAGGGCTGACTCCCTGGGGCGAGGCAGGCGAGGCTCAGCCGCCGAGCACGGCGCAGAGTGGCGCCA